TTTCAGAAAATACCTGTGAAATACAGTAACTCATCCGGATTTTTTATTTTTTTAGTGAACACATTTCTCAAACTCATCTTAGAAGATTGTATTTGCTGATAGGGATGCTTGACTGCAGTGGGGTCTGAATAGGCAGAGCCAGCACAGCAGGGGAACTTGGGGGTTTGGCTTGGATTTGGAGGCAGATCCACTGACAGTCAAATCACTTCTGTAAGAGGGGGAGAGCCCACATGTCCCCATTTTCCTCACGGAACCACCTACAGGGATGGGAGAGATGCTCCATCACACCACAGCTCCTCCAGCTATCCAGGCCTTTGTTTGCAAGAACCGTGGGTTACAAAGCTTTGAGTCTCCGAGGAGGAGGTGGTCTCTGGGGGAGTCATGAGTCTGTTCCATGAAGAGACCGAGGGCATGTGAAGGAAGGAGGGCTGGGGTTATCTCAGATATAAAGCAGCTGATGGGAAGGGTGGGAAGATGTCAACTCTGTGCCCACCTACAGGATTCCCTGGAAAGAAAACAGGCATCCAAAGAGGACCACCCACAAGATGTCACCGGGAAAGACACGTTTCTATGCTAGAAACCGCATAGAGCAAAAGCGGTGCTCACACGCCTCAGTCCCGAAACTCTATGCACTTTCCTCCGGTGTTAACCCATTGCTACCTAGGTCTACTAACCTCGAGTGCATGTAAGGGCTTCTGCGGGTCTAAACACTATCAAACAAACACACTGATTTTCCCAGTGTCTTTGGACGTTAGTGCCATTTGTCTTTACGCCCTGTATTGCCCCCAACTGGCTAACAGCGATAGAAACAGTAGCCCTTGAATGATGATGGATACGGCACTGTTCGTGGGTGCTCACGGTAATTTCGGAGCTCAAAGTCCTGAAATTCCTTGTTAGGATGAAATGCTTTGATAGATGGCTCTGATCTCTGCCTGTTTGACTTTCTAAAATCCCACACTTAATCATCATTAGGTGATGATAACTCTCACTATTTATTACTCTACCTACTTGCTTAGTCCTCACCTAATTAGGTGCATGTGAGCACCTAATCTCCTTAAAAGAGATACTACCATTGTTCCCTTTTGCTTATGGACGAGATGACTAAGGGTTAGGGGGAAGAAGTAACTGTGAGGGTTGGGGTGAAGGTCAGTTGGTAGAATGCTTGCTTAGCAATAATCAAAGTCCAAAGGCACAGTACCTTGTGCTTCATGAAACCAAGCATGGCATGATGTGCTCACCAGCACCCCAGGATGCAGAGATAGGAGGATCAGAGTTCACGAGCATCATCAGCTACATAGCAAATTCAAGGTCAGCCTGGGAAATAAGACCCTGTCTAAAAAGGAAGGAGGAAAAAGGAAAGGAGGGAGGAAGGGAAGAAGAGCAGGGAGGAGGAAGAGAAGGGAGGAAAAAAGTAGGGGGGAGACAGGAGAGGGAGGGAAGGGGAGGGGAGAAGAGTGGAGGGGAGGAGAATTCATGCCATGCCTCTATTCTGGTCCATTTGGAACTCTATAGCAAATTACCATACTCTAGATGGATGCTGAATATCAGAACTTCACTTCTCACTGAATCAAACCCCAGTCCCCACACACACATTTGTTCCATTGCCAATTACTGATTTTCTGTGCTCCACAAGGATAAGGGGAAAGGCACTGCCTTGCCCTCTTCTATAAGGGCACTAAGTTCCATTCACCAGGGCTTGGCCCTCAGCACTTTCCTATTAATCCTGAAACCATCGCCACCTCTACATCCTGACACATTGGTCACACAATGTGACACATCCTGTCACATTGGTGGTTAGGCCTCAGTGCTGGCATTTGTGGGGCACAAGCATTCAGAACACATTCGCTAGTAACTGGTAGGTGGAGGCTTACCCCAGGCTGTCTCCTTTACCCCAAACATTGCTAGCTACATGCCCTTGCACTTTATTGCCAAGCGATCTTAGCCTGTTGCTTCCGTGTGCAGCTGGAAGCGTGCCCTTGTGTTGATCTTAACTCATTGCTTCTGTATGTAGTGAGATGCAAGCCTTTATGTTGTCCCAACTGTCTGATGTGCTGTGTAGGCCCTGAAGTTCAGGCTAAGCAGGCTCGACTTTCTGATGACAGGCACACAGGCCTTGTTTTCTGTGAATTCCTAATTGGAAACCATGGGCCAGGTGTTTTCACTTCATAACTGTATTCTTCAGCCCTTCAATTATTTTGCATAGAGGGAAGTACTCCCTCCAGTATTATGGCCCATGGCATAGTCTGCAAGAAGAGGGTGATTCGTTGAATTGATTACGATTGTCCTTTTTCCTTTAATTCTTTCAAGAATATGTGTGGCTTCTGTATCTAGTAAGCACATGCTATCGTCTATACCGTGTGCTGGATGCTAGACTATACCTTTAATAGAGCATTTGCTCTACCAGCTAGGGATGCAGACATCCACACAGGTGAAGTGGGTCACATGTAAGTGGTAAACACACAAGGGGCAGTTGAGTGGTTACCAGGTGACAGTGGTTATATCATATGAAGGTGCTAATGTTACAGACGGGGCTTGTCGCCTTTGTTTTCTGAAGTGAAGGACAGACAGCATGACTGTTAGATGTTAGAGGATTATATTTTCTGCTAAGGATAAACTAAAACTATGTTCTGAGAGTAGAAGATGGGGTACTGAGGTGAGAGACCTGAGGAGGGAAGACCTGTTTAAGACACCTGTTGCTGGGAACCAAGAATGTTGAAGTGTTGTGTGTGTGTGTGTGTGTGTGTGTGTGTGTGTAATATAAATAAATATATAAGCACACAAGAATATATACATGAACAGTGCTGGAATAAAAGAAATGATGAGGAAAAGAGATGGGGGAGAGAGAGGCAGTCTGACATGCTTATTTGGAAAAATACTAAATTGTGAAATAGAAAGTTATGAATTTCACATCAAAACTTACATCATTCAAATAGTAGGTTTTAAAAAAATGAAGAAAATGAGAGGTTCTGGTTGATAGTCCTGTGGAATTATGAAGAAAGGAGCACGTTTCCCTACGAGTCCTCCTGTGTCAGGTTGAACTCTCACTGATTGGAGGATGCTCGCTTCTGTCTAAGCTGACTTCTCTACCTGCTGTGTTGTGTGTGACCACACTGCCCCATCTGTCTGCCCAGTGGTCTGAAAGGGGGCGGTGAAGGCTGCATCTGGGCAGCGCCTCACCGGTGATGGAGCTTGCGGTGGTGCATTTCCTCTGATCTCAGCTACTGCCAGATCACTGCTGCAGGGAGAGACCTGAGGACTTTGAAAGACTTGCATAAAATGCTTATCTGCGGTTATCACTGATTACTTTGAAATAAACAGAACAAGCCCAAGGGACTGGAAACTTGTGACAAATTGCAGCAATTTAAAGAAAACAGTCTGATTGGAAAATTAAGACGTGGGTCTGATGAACAATAGAGCCATGGGAAGGGCTTGCAGATCAGCTGCCAAATTAATTAGGAATTCGTGTCTGAAACGCCGATGGAAGGTCTTCAGAAACAAAATGTAAACACAGAAAAATTTCAAAGCTACATATCTTCTCTGGAAACGACAGATAAGGGGCTTAAGCATAAGTGTCTGTCAGCCTTCCCTCCCCAAATTGGCAGTCTCAGTTCCCGGGTCTGACTGTTCCGTACATACTCAAGCAGAAACACAATGCGAGCATCAAAGGAAGAGGTGCGAGAGATTTCAAAGTTAATTGTCAGAGATTTGACACCTTGGGACAAGAGCTCTCTTGGCATCTTAGCTTTGAATCTGGCAGTTGCTGCTGCTGTGGGCATTTGCTGTGTGAATGGCACGCAGCTAGACCCCTTCTGAATTTAGAAGCTTAAGTCTAGGGCCCTTCACATCACGGGACTGGAGAATTCTCTCCCAGAGGCTCTGGACTAACCAGTGGCCATGACCTTAACCTTTGGGGTATGAGGGTGGGAGATGAGCCTCTTAATGCTGCTCCTATCCCTTTGGAAGTCTTAGTGTAACTCACTAGGCAGATTTCTCCAGCCACCTTGAAACTTGTAGGTGTTTTCTACCCATCTCAGACACTTAAGGAACATTTCAATACTGGAAGCCAAATATGCCTGTTAGTTAGTGCAGCCACACCGCCCAACCTAACTATATTTTACTAAGTAAGAATTATACACTATGTAGTCAAGCTGTTACTGGTAAATTACAAACATGCTTAATTACTTAATGGCACATAATTTACAGATATGCAGCTGTTCGAGGGCATGTTGTAACAGATGACTAGGGTATTTGAAAAGGTCTTTAAAAGTGGGATGCATTCTCTTCTAATCTTCTCATTTAAAGACGTTTTGAGGGCTGGTGACTCAGACGGCAGAGCAGATAAAGGTACTTTTCCACCAACACTGTCAGTGCAAGTTCAATCCCCAGGACCTGACTCTGACATCTCCATGAGTGCCATGACATAGGCATGTGCACACATGTACACACTCACATACCAGGAGGTCACACCCAGCAGTGAGGGTACCTGTGATGTGTGCAGAAGCTGTGAGCCATAGACATGGTGTTTGGGGAATGCTCCATGGCCAGAGGCATTTGGGAAGCACAGAATACCCAGAAAGTGGATTCAATCACTCAGAATAAACTGGACGAGCTCTGGCTTATTGGTTTCCCAGGGAAATGTACCCCTAACATCCAATCTAGTTTTGTTTCGTTTAGAGTCATTGAACACGTACATGTGTTGTGTGACACACCTGACTGATTTCATGCATCCGTGTTATTTTGAATTTCTTTAAATGCAATTACTTATAGAACTCGTTATTTATCCCAGTATTGTGGTTGTATGGGTGACAGAAGTTCACTCAGTTGCCAATAAGCACTAATAAGCACTAATTGTTCTCAGTGCAGTGATTCATTCTCCTGATATTTGATGGAATATCTGTCCCAGCGCCTGAAAACTACATCTCGGCTACTCATGCCTCTCCTTTTGAATCGTCACAGAGTGACCCCTGTATGGCCACACAGCCTCTGATTTTCTATTGCAGGAGCAGCAGAGAAGAGCTCCAAACATGGTGCCGAGGACAAGACCCTGACCATCATCACAGCCATGAAAGAAAGAATGAAGATAAGGGAAAGAAATAGGCCAGAGGTGTTTGAAGTCATTCAGGAAATGTTCCAGATCTCCAAGGAGGATTTTGTGCAGTACACAAAGGCTGCCAAGCAGAGCGTGCTGGATGGAACTTCTAAATGGTCAGCAAAAATAACCATTACAGGTAGAATGCATTTCTGAAGTGTTTTATTTCATATAGAGGCTGTTTATGTGTTTCAGGAACTACCATTAGTAAAAATAAAATTACAGGTAAACTAATTGGTTTTTTTTTAAATCTTGTCAATGTTGACAAATCTACCAGTTACTTCAATTTTCTCAAATATGTGAAGATAATTAGAATAATTTCAGTCTGTGTTCTCCTACTTTACTCATCAATACCTTAAAGATTTCAAAAATAAGCTTTTCAATTGCCTCCTACCAAATAATGCCAGTGGGATCGATGATCTCCTCACTGAGGGCCGGTTTTAATGTGCTCCTTTAAGGAGAATCATTTCAATAGCTAACTACACACTCATCCACCTGATCCTAAAGTAAAGACCGATGATGGTTTAAGTTCTTTAGGTTAAACTCTAAAGTTGGTCTTTGCATGATAGTACACACACATTGTTGCTGGAGAGATGGGTTGGTGCTTATGAGCACTTGCTGCTCTTGCAGGGCACCTGAGTTCAATTCCCAGTACTTACTGAACCTCACAACCACCTATAACTCCAGTTACAGAGGCTCTGATACCATTTCTCACCTCTATGAGCACTGAACACATGTGGCATACATACATACATGCTGGGAAAACACCCATATATGTAAAACAAGCCAAATCAGAAACAGCAATCGTAACTTTCATTTTGTTATATAATAAAATAAAGATAACTTTCTTCATTAGATTACACTAATCTATAGTCATACCAAATCCATTAAATTTTAAAATCACATACGTTTGAATTTTGCTGAACAATTTTTTGCATTTGGTGCATGTAACCTTGTTGGAGGAGGCCTTGGTTCCTGGCTGTTCAGTCCCGAAATAATTACACAGAAACCATATTATTTAAATCACTGCTTGGCCCATTGCTCTAGCTTCTTATTGGATAACTCTTACTCCATAATTTAACCCGTTTCTATTCATCTGTGTGTTGCCACGTGGCTGTGGCTTAGCAAGTAAAGTTCCTGTGTCTATCTCCAGCGAGGTTACATGGTTTCCTGACTCTGCCTCCTTTCTCCCAGCATTCAGTTTAGTTTTTCCCGCCTACCTAAGTTCTGCCCTATCAACAGGCCAAGGCAGTTTCCTTATTCTCCAATGGTATTAATACCATACAGAGGGGAATCCCATATCATAACCTGAGTCAACACATGCATATTAATACTTCTTATCATTGGATATTTTCTTGATTTTTTTAAAATTTACAGCTATTAGTCTATGTTTCTAGTCATGTACAGCAGGGAGTTTTGAAATATGAATAGAGTTCAGAGTGGTTAAATCTAGCTAGCTAATTCACAAAGTATGTGGCATCACTTCACTTTGTCCTGAAAGCTTGTGCCACCCATTCTGTGTTTCAAGGGTGAGGTGCATGGCATTTGCTCTGGTTGCTTTGATATGTGACATGTCTCTTGAAATATGCTCCTCCTAGGAAATCATAAATAAATGTGTGTATATATATATACACACATACACACACTGTGTTATCTTGTTATCTTTCTTTCAGACCTCAACAGCTTTTGCACACGGTGCTGTGGTGGTAGTCTTGCTTTAGGAATGACATCATTTTGTATCAGGTCCTTTCACTTAACACAGTGTTGTCAAAGATCATGTATGTTGTGGGAAGCTACAGTGTTTAGTTATGAATTTCTGATTAACATCTTAACCAAAGATTTGAGTCAACATTTATCAAAATGAGATTTATACTTAGCTAACAGTACATGAAAAAAAGTTCAATATCACTGATTATCAGGAAGTTCAGACCTCCACAGCGAGCTACTTCCTCATGCATTAGAATGGGGGATGGATATAAATTAATACCACTATTGTGCAGAACAACAAGAGTCCTATAAAAACTCAAAATGGAATTACCGTGTTCTCCAATAGATCCACTATGGAGTATATACCCCCAAAGAAATGAAACCACAATCTTAAGAAAATAGCCTTATTCTGTCCTACCTGCAGCACAGTTCCCAGCGTCTAATATCTGTCAACAGATGGACAAGGGGAAAGTGGTAGGCACACACAGTGGTCAGTGCTCAACAGGAGAAAGGACAAAGACAGTTAAGTCAATGTGCATATTCTGTTATAGATGTTGCTGGTGGCTTGTGGGTTGCAAGCATGAGAGTGATCAAGATGAATCTGTAAGCCCGGGACAAACTGACAGAAAATATTTTCTCTAACTGTTTTGTTTCTGGAAGCATTGTCAGTTATTTCTGATTCATTTCAGTGGTTTCTGCACAAGGCTTGCAGGCAAAAGACAAAACTGGATCCAGTGACCCTTATGTGACCGTTCAAGTTGGTAAAAATAAAAGAAGAACAAAAACCATCTTTGGAAACTTGAATCCAGTGTGGGATGAGCGGTTTTACTTGTAAGTACGCGCTCTCAAGCTATCACAGGGACAAAGGGTGTTTGAGAATGACCTCAAGACAGGCTGATGAAGGCTAAAGAAGCCTGTGTTTTAGTCCCATGCAGAAATGTTAAAAAGAGGAACTAGAATTTTAACTTAGTGCTTTGCTCACAGCCAAACATTAGGCGGAGCTCAGGGAAACCTGCAGTGGGGAAGCATGTTTTGTTTGCTTTTGTGAAGTGCGTGAAGGTGTGCACACAAAGGCCCACAGAGGAGTGGCACTGGAGGGAGGGTGGACATGGTCTACTGTGTAGTCTGTGGCTTGGGATGGGACTCCTCAGAGCGAGGAAGCCATGAGCTGGACAAGCACTGCACTACCTCTGAAGATTTGCGACCAAGGACAGGAGAGATCTTTGGGCACCTCTGGCCCACCCATGCTGGTGGAAATGAGAGTAGACCACTCACAGGAAATGGCTGGCGACAACTTCATGACTTTTCACTCTCTAAGAGGACATTTATTTATCAACTCTAACATCTTACACCTAACAGCAAGAAATCGTTTTTCTGTCCAAGATTCTTTTCTTTCTATAATTCTTTTAGGGGGTGGGAAATTTTTAGTTATTATCTGGTACAAAGGCACTGAGGAGCCTAAGTCTGTAGCATCTCCTTTACCTGCTAAGTAAGCCATCCTGGATCTGTTTAAGTGTTTAACAAGTGAGGTGTGGGGTTTTGTTGTTATTTCCTTGAATATGGGCCAATGAGAAAGTGTTCAGAAATTGGTTTAGAGAATCCTTTGGGATTGTGTAACTATGGAATGAGTGATGAGGTTTGAATGGTGTCTCTTTTCAGAGGGATGGGTAGGCTAATCGCTAACTCTTTTTAAGTAGAAGACAAGAAATCAATGAGTTGTTACAAATTGAGATTCTACTGGAGTCAAGTAAATGAATAAAACCGATTAGGGACAAATGGGGGAGAGAGATGGAAACCAGCCATTAAAGAGAGCAAGGAACTCAGGGCTGAGGCAGCTGAACTGGAGCAGCATCCCGTGGACTGGGTGCAGCTAGAGCCTCCAGACCCTTAGTGGGAGATGCTCATACAAAACTTCTTTTAAAATACCTTGACTGAGGCATCATTGAGAGGCTAAAGCTGCACATAGGTGAATACTTAAGGTTTGTTCTGTGCCTGCCTCTGTGATATCATCACCTCAGACAAGGTGGTGAGCTTGTCTCTCACTCCTAAAAGGTTTGTCATGCCCCACAGATGGCTTTCCTCCTGATTTTTCTTGTTCTGAGCAGAAGCCAGTCTGGGTACTGATATAGCGTACTTGGTGTTGCTCGTTTTCTACATTTTCCATTGATAGAATCATGAGGTATGCACCCTTCTCCCATAGAGTTCCAATCGTTTCATATACGTGTTTTGAGTTTTAGAAAGCATCTCTAGCTCTTAACTTATTATTGCTGTGTAATATTTCAGTACCAGTGCCAATTTATCTCATAAAGGTACAGGAATACTGAATGCAACCCAAACTTCTAGTACTTGTTAAGGATAAGTCTTAAATCTTATAAATCTTAGCATTCTGCCCTATATACAGTAGCATCTTACGCAGATTGTTTTGGTTTAAATTTCTAACAACTAGGAATCGTAAGCATTGCTGAGCTGATATGTTGTGTCTCTTCTTCGATTAAGTGCTTATTCAAACATTCTGGCATTTTCAAAGTTTAGTCTTTCTTAGTTGCACATGCTTTATAGGTTTACATCTAGACCTTGATGCATATTTAAGTAAAATGTAGTATAGTATAAGTTATACCTATGAATATTTGAGTATTTGTCGTTTTGAAAGCATTGTTTGTTCTCAGCTAAATTGCTTCTTTACCTTTTGATAAAATTCAGCTCTGCCTGTGTGGGTGGCTGTATGTCAGGACTTTTTGTTCCGTTCTCTTTGTCTTTTTGTACTCAGGACTCAGGAGTGTTGATGGACCAAACCCTTATTAAAAAATCTTAAATTAAGAAGGCATTAGCTGTGTGGTGTTCATCCATTTTTCAAAGTTGTGTTGACTACATTAAGACTGAGTCATTATTTTCATATGAATTTTAAAATCAGTTTATCATTTTCTTTACAAATTAAAACAATGAAAGTGTCAACTCCAGACAGAATTTCCATTGTGTAATAGCTTTGTATGAGATTCTAGTATTAAGTCCAATGGAAATGACACAGTAAATATCTCAGCCTCATTTCTACCTTACCATGAAACATTCTTGCCTTTGCTAATTCAAGCCCTAGCAGTGGCTTTATTAAGGCTGCTATGTCTTCATTTAGGAAAAAACATTCTCCACTATATTCTCGATGTGCAGAGAGTTTTGATAGGAAGGCAGACATTGGATTACATCCTGTTCTTTTTTCTGTGTTTTGTCTTTTTCCTTTATTGACATGTCCATATGGGTTAGATTATCATGTTGTAAAATTATTTTCAAGATATAGTCCATTGAGTCTGTGTTCCCATTGTTCACTGCAGGAAGTCTCCCATGGCCCTCATTTTTATGGGGCACATGTGCCTTCTCCCTTTCTGCTGTTTTTGATGTTATTCTCTCGGTTCATTTTATGATGTCATTGTGATGTGGTCTAGTGCCCCTTTCCTAGTGTTTCTGCTGCTTTAGGACTTGTTGAGCTGGTTGAGATTACAAATCTGAATTTTCTGTCATGTATGGAAAAACTCCTGTTCATTATTTTTGTAAATATTATTACTACTTCTCACCCCAGTTATGGAAATTCCATTAACACATGCCTGAATTCTCTTGAATTTGTCTGTCTCTTGATGCTCTGACTCAATTTAATTTAATTTTCTTTACTGTACAGAATGTTTTGTTTTTGCTTTATAAGAGTTGTTTTGTGTTATATGTGTGTTTTAGTGACTGCATATATGTATGTGCAACATCTGTGTGCCTGGTGCCTGCAGAGACCAGAAGAGGGCTTCTGAAACTGAAGTGATTTTGGTTGTGAGCCACCATATGTGTGCTGGAAACTGAACCCAGGTCTTCTATAGGAGCAACCAGTGCTTTTAAACACTGAGTCATCTCTTCATTCACACTGTGCAGAATATTTTTAATGTGATATAACTTCATATGTCAATTCTTGCCTTATATCCCGAGCTTTTGGAGTCCTACTCTATAAGTCTCTACCTAGTCTAAAGCCCACCGTCTTTTCCTTTAGTACAGCAGTTCCCAACATATGGGTCACAACCCCTTTGGAAAACCTCTGTCTCCAAAAATATTTACATTATGATTCATTATAGTAGCAAAATTACAGTTATGAAGTAGCAATGAAAAACAACGTTATGGTTGGGGGTCACCAGAACCTGAGGAACTTATTAAAGGGATGCATTAGAAAGGTTGAGAAGCCAGCACTGTTCTAGTAGCTTCAAATTTCAATTCCAAAAGGAGTTCATGTGTATATGAGGTGGGTGATATTGATCGAGTTTTAATATTCTACATGTAATTATCCAGTCTTACCATCATCACTTTTTGAAAAGGCTATTTTTATCTAATGTGTGCTTTGGTCCCTTTTTTGGGGACCATTTAGATTAAGGTATCTGTCTTTATTTCTGGGTCCTCTATTCTATTTGATCCTGTCCTATCCGACTCTGGTCTAATGGTTGCACTTCTGCTCTTATCCAGTGTCAGGTTTTGTTACTGTGCTGTCATGGAACTGTGCCCACTGGGCATGACCTTGCTGTTCCTATCTTGAAATTTGAACTAAGTGCAGGAGACTTTCATACGACCCTGCCTATGAGCCTCTGCTTCTAGAAAAATGGGTGGGCGGGCTATCAGACCCTCGCTTGAGATTCCAACTCCTAACTCCTCCCTGCTTCCCCATTATCCCAACTGCAGGTAACCCTGCTCCCACTGCAAAGAGTCTGCGGTCTGACACAGGAGTAAACAGGAGAGGAAATGCTGACTGTGACTGGAAGCTCCAGTATACCAGCTTTTGTGAGTGGCCAGTTAGGGTGGAGAGGAGTTTTTGTAAGATGCAGCTGGCTTAGAGTCATCTGTGCTCCCTTAAGTAAGCCTGCTACATGCATTGTTTCACAGAGTTGTGAAGAGCATCATTGCTCTTTTAATGGGATTACAAGGAATTGGTTATTTGATTGTGTGGCCAGTTATACAACTATTAATTCACTGCATCTTCCAGATTTTTCTTCCACTTCTACATAACTTTCCACTTCCATCTTGAAGGCCTTTTTAGCTCCTTGATTAGGTTTCTTCCTCGGTTATTGTTTGTTTTTCTTCAGGGTCAAATCAGTGGCCTCCTTATCTTTCTTCCTCAAGGGGCTTGCTATGGTGTGTGAGGAAAGTAACTGGTTTTTTTTTATTTGTTGATTCTGAATTCTACTACTTTGTTGGATTTTTTTCATTGGTTCTAAGAGTCTGTTAACTTTTGAACCTATGCAATACCTACAGTAAATGTTTGATGCCCTTGGCAACCAATCTGAGAGTTTCTGTTCACAGCTTAGCTTCCTCTTCGGGGTTTTCTCAATCTGTAGCAGGTTTTTCTATTTGCACACCTTTAAGTCTATATTTTGTCTTGGACAACATCTTAAAGATCACTTTGTCTGCAAATGGGTATTATGACATTCTATAAATACTCTTACTCTTTGTCCTGAAAATTGGTTACATAGAAAAGTTTCATTTCTTTGGATCTTGCTTTAAAATCTGCTACATAGAACTGAAATTGGGCTTTAGGATAATCACGCTGTTCTCTAAGAAGGCCAGAGCCTTAAGTGCACTCTACTTGCTGACTCTTGAATTTTTAGTTTTTTTTTTTTTTTTTTTTGTCAGCTTAGTGGAAAATTGCTTCTTACCTGGCCGTGGGTGGGTACTGGGCTCTGTTGCATCTGTCCTACCCACTGTTCTTAAGCAACCCTTGAGGTGTCATCTCAGACACACCCTCATCATCATTCAAATGATGTCTCAAGTAACCCTCCGCAGACAACCGGAATCCTCCTTCTGTTCGGCGCTCTTCTCAA